TGTACATGCCTAACTCGCTAAAGAAAGATCTCTCACGGCGAAACAGACATATAGTCTACAGTACAGGGCAATGACTCTGTTAGCCTAGACGCCCTTGCAGAGTAGCTTTATAATGTGAAGTGAGCAGAAGATTTGAGAACACGGTGAAGTTTGGGGGGCAGGTTTCTTTGCTGTTAGAGATGAAACAAGCAACTCTAAAAAAGAATTCAGAACAAAACCCAACGGACATTGATGAATTGTCTCTATAACTAAGAGCGAGTGTGTAGCAAGCACTGTAAAAGCAACTCCATCTGATCTTTCACCATTCCTTGAAGGGGATGATGATACTTCACTTTCCCTGAACAATAGCAGAGAAATTTGCTCCGAGATACTGGGCTGCTTCGAGGCTAGACATGTGGGATGCAATTATTTCCTCTTTCATCAAGCACTGGAACTACCATTTTGTTGAAACTATATCCCTTGGCTGTAATGATACCTTTTTGGAGTCAGGCTTTTGCACAAAAAGGAAAGTCTGGGTTGATAAAGTAGAAGTCTGCCTTCCAGGGCTTTTGGTTTAATGCGCAGTATGAATACCAGTGTTGTTTTAGCAGCATAGCAAAGAGTTTATATTTTGCAATTATTTTATTTGCCATGGGGGAAAAAATACTAACACCTTAATAAAGTGTTGCAAAATCCCCAGTTAAATAATGGATGTTGGCAAACTCAAGTTTCAGAGAGGAAGCATCAAATACACATCTGCTTGCCCAATGATAAATCTGGACATTGGCTGTTGGCGCGTTTGATTTAACAAAGAAACTGGCATTTGTCTTTAGAAGTGGCAGCAATCCTGACTCAGGCAAAATTTCCACTGACTTCCATTTTCATTCTGTGACTTGACAGTGAGTATTGCTAGTGACAGGGACCGGGTCAAGCATTATTTAATATTAAGACCAATAATGAGTCTTGTTCTTAAAGATTTCTCCAATTATTTAACACAGAAAATCAGAGTATAGGCGATTTATGGAAAAATCCCATTTTAAACAATATTGCATTGTTATGTCATGCACTTTGCATGCAGCACTGGAGATTAAAAAAAAAGAACCAACTTTTTACCCTCTTTCGAGATTCAAAAGCCAAAATTTAAAAGAGAGAGAGAGAGAGAGAGAGAGAGAGAGAGAGAGAAACCAGCCCCTTTAACTGTGGCAGATTAAAACGACCCATTATAAAGCAAATATTTTCTTTAGATTTCAACCAGAATAAAGTCCATTCATCTGAAGAAGCTAGTTGTACCCGCGAAAGCTCATACGCCATCTACATGTTTTGTTAGTCTTTAAGGTGCTGCTAGGCTCTTCGCTATTTTTTTAAAAGATATTAACGTCAGGTGCATTGCAAATAAGTATCGCAGGCAAAAGTTGCACAAGGACAGGCACTGCTAGGGAACCATGCACATTAAAAACAACAGCTGTGCAACAGCTGCAAATGAAGAGGTAAGGTCGGAGAATAACGGATACAAGCTGTGTACAGGTGAGGTCCGTTGATGGAGCTCCAGGCTCAGTGGAAACCAGGGCTATCAATAGGATGCTTCTTTTCGTTGTCTTCTCTCGCGGAGAAGAGGTAAGGACCATATTTAAGCAGGAACAAACCAAAAATCAGGGTAGCCTGGGGCAGGGGGCGCGAGGGGAAAAAAGGTCGAGATCCATTTAACCATTAGATCACAGTAGAGCCGTTTAAACCCCTTGGATACATTCTGGGAAGCCAGTTCCGCAGGAGAGGTGGTTCACCAGGACACAGCATGAACCCACCATGTGCTGCTGGCTTACCCTAGAAACGGCAACAGGGCACAGCCAGCCTGCCGTGGCTTTGTCAGCTTTACATGTGGCACCCTTGCCAGGACAGCATCAGCTAGGCTAGTAAGCTGAGGCATGTGTGTGAAAAGGCTGCAAGACATTCCTTCTTTCATTCTTAGCGCGGGCGATCAATAGGAGGGAGAATGAACTGATGAGCAGAAACCGAATAGTTATTGTTGAGAAGGTATTTTGCTATCGGGGCAGTAGACGGAAAATGACAACGAAACCGCGCCTGCTTTGGAGGTGCGCTTCTAAACTTCGTTACTCTTGGGCATACACAAGGTCTGTGGGCCAGATCCTGCAGTCAGTGGGATTGTGGGCTGAGGGTGCCGTCCCGGAACGAGAGAAATGAATTCTTGCATACTTCTTCCCCTGATGAACTAATCTATAAAACAATAATGATGGGGTAGCAAAGGACACACCCTGTAGGCTCTGGAGGGAAAAAAACCCTCTAGCTGATTGTCCTTCTCCTGCGCTTTATCACTGCTCAGGGAATTGATCACACCTCGCATTCTGTTTGTAAGTACAATAAATAAGATGCTTCCTCTTCTACAGAAACCAGGTGGTGGGGGTATTTGGGATTTGCATCTTATTTATTGGAACGTGGACTTAGCTGTAAATGAAAACGAACCGCATCTCTACTCTGGAAAGCCTATAAAGTGAGCCAGAATAACTGAGTTTGGCACGATAACTAATTTAAAGTGAAAAGAACATTAAAATACAGATTTTAAACTGCATAAGAAATATTCAAATTTAAGTAAGAGCATTCAAACAATCTCGGGGCTAGTCCAAGCAGCAGTTCCAAAAGGGGTCCAAATACCGGATAGCTAGTCAACTTTAACCATAGTTTAACTTCTCGAGTTTCAAGAAGAATCTCAGTGGAAATTTCAAAATAGTCCCCGGGATTTAGACCCATTGATTTTACGTGAGAAGCCCCGGGTCTAAATCCTGTAGACTATTCCATTTGTACTGAAATTTCCATTGAGATTCTTTATTTTTGTTCTTGACACTGACAGGCTATACCTTCCTGCCAAATAAACAACTGCTAATTCTAGCCAAGTCATTTGCTATGCCCCATACTCCTTTGCTAGATACACGAAACGAATATTCGCCGGAATAAATCAATTCTTTGTCTTGCAAACATACTTCAAAAGTTTTTTTCAGATTTGGATGTACACTTAGTCTGCCAGATTTGCCCATTTTTCACTCAGTTTTGTTATAAGAGAGAAATTGAAGCTCGGAAGAGACAGATAAAAGAGAGGGAAAATAGTTTATTTACTATCTACCCTCTGTCAGATTCATTTTATAGGACGGGGATGGTAACCATTTCATTGATCTTCTGACTCTGGTATGTCTAAAACACATTTGTGGGAGAACCGGTACGTGCTCAAAATGTCATATTTGGGGTTACAGATAACACAATCGTATAAATTATAGTATCATTTTATTAAAAGGAGAGTATTCGGCTTTAAAACACAATAGGAGCAAATCCATCTCTCTGTCTCTGTCTCTGTCTCTGTTTCTGTCTCTCACACACAGGAAGATTATGGAATTTAATTCCATGTATATCTTCGTTTTACCATTTCGTAGTACAATATTAGTCCAAAAGAATAAATTGCATGACCTTGTTTTGTAGAGAGTTAATCTATCCATGTGTTGTAAATTAACTCTCTAGATAATACCGGTCCCAATTCTACAGTTATAGATGGGTACGTTCTAGGTTAAATGTTACCACTTTGTTAAGAGGTTTCACAGTGCCAAGTGGGAAAAGTATACTGTTGAAACATAGATCATCTGACTCGGAAAACATTTAAAATGTATCTGAATGGTCAATTTGTACAAGGATGCTAGAAATAAAATTATAAAATTGTTAAACTCTTCTGATTTACTTTTATCATAGTTACCCGTAATGAAATCATTCCTTGCATACATATAAATATGCATATGAGAGTGTCATCCTTGCGCTACAAAGAAATGACAACTTTAGAGGATCTAAATTCAACTTCAAACGATTTAAAGCGTTCCCCATTACGTCTTAAGATCCATATGTTTCAAGAGAATGTTAATTACACTCACAGACGATACTGAACTTGTAGAAGAAAGTGACTAAATAAAACAAAAATAAAATAAGTAATGATTCTTATTTAAGCAGGGAAAACGTAAATATTTTGGATTCATTCTGTTACTTTAACTTCATTTGGAGAAGTCTTTTATGGCATAAAAACACCTACAGCTATTTAGCTACCTGGGTAAGAAATGCTTTCACGATATTTGGAACACTCACACTTAAGAAGACACGTGCAATTATTTGGGCACTAACATGGGAAATCACATCCTTTACATGTGAACTAAAGGAAACGTTAAAGATGAGCGATCGGATGTATTTCCACTGCATTTATGTTCAATTACCTGTTGTCCATATTTCTCTCCCGACGCTCTCTTTCAAATTCTAATTCTTGGAATCTAAAGTGTTTTTTCCCCTTACCCCACAGTTATCTTTAACAAAAACAGCCCGATGATTTTCCTAAATAAGGGAAACGCCCAGCAGCAAAAAAAGAGTGAATATTCGCCACAGACTTTTCACTGACATATTAGTTACAGACTGACTTTGCAATATTTTCAGAAACACTACAGGTGTAAATATTATTTGTTTATTACCTAGCGCTATGCAAACATAATGTAGTACACAGCGGAAACACTGAGAAAGCACATAGCTTGCCCCAAACAATACAGAAGAAAGCAACTAACTACTCCTCACACTTCCATCTTCTGAGGAAGAAAATATTATTCTACGTGAAATGTGAGGTGCATGTGTGTGTGTGTGAAGATGTCTCCAGAATCGCTCACAGACACTATGCATGTTGGCAATAGACTGCACCCCCCCCCCCAATATATCCCCCCCCCCCCAACTTCAATCCAGTAAAAAA